AAACACCTTCCTTCAATTAAAAAAGTTGAAACTAGTGGTTTAAATTCAAAATGCAAAAGAAATGTCTTCCACGGACTGTTTACATATGATATTTTGAATATACATATACTTATCCATAGAGAATTTTTATATATGGTTATGACAATTTTGTCTAATGATGTAACCAACATTCCACTGGTCAATCACATTAGCATAATTAGGTGTGCTTTAGAATAATTCCATGTAGCATCAGAAATATATTAAATATACACATATGCACTTATATATGTACATATTTTTATAAATTTGCAGGCTACAGCCAAAATAAAATGTTACCTATAAGAGTTCCCTATGTAGAAGAAAATTATATTAATCCTTGTTTCTCTTTTAGACTTCATACAATGTACAAAATAAAAAGGTATCGAAGTTTTGCATATTATTAAAATAATGTTTCTAAAATAATTCTAATTTGAAAAACTTACACTGTTTTATAAACTCTAACATCTGTTCTTACATGAAATAGAAGCGCTAAAAAACTGACCCCTAGAAGAGGAAAAGAAGACTAAAAACTAAAGGATAAAGAGACAGAGTTCCAAAAATACCCAATTGTGTAATTTGAGAGACTGCCATGAAAATCAAGTGAAACCAGGAAAACAAACAGAGAAAATTTTTAAAAGATGTAAACATCCCAGCAGACTTCAACTGACTACAGTGTCAATAAAGCTTAAGCTTGAGAGCCTCCACTTTCTGGGATCTCTGTGAGTTCCAGAGTTGCAGGGTGTTTCCATTGCCTAAATGGGTCTCTGCAAAGGGGAGTCAAGTCTCCAAGTGAGTCTCTGGTAACTTGCTGTGATTTGTGATTCTAGTAAATCTTCACATTTTTTCTTCATTCTGTACTCATAATTTTGTGTCCTTTTACTTAGTGATGCTTGCCAAATGCAGTTGCTAGATGTATTAGACTGCTAGAGAGGTGTCGACTAAAAAAAAAAATCACACATCACAGAACCTGAAAGTTGAGAGTTTCATTTCTGGACCGTACTGAGGACTGCAGCTGAGGAGACAGCCTCTCAAACAGCTCTGAGGAACTGCTCTCAAGAGATAAAGGAGGAACCAGGACACATAGGACTTTTTTCTGCAGAAAAAAATTAAGTAAAAACAACACTTAGTTGAGCATAAAAAGATTGCTGCTAATCACAAAAAATCAGAAATCTTAAGTTAATGATTTCAGTGCTTTCCTATGTATGGGGAGATGCAAGAATCTGGGCTTACTGACATTATTCCTTTGATATGAATCTTAACTACCTAGGGCCAATATCATGGTTTTCTCCATCCTAAATTCCCCACAGGCCGAAATGTAGTGGGTGGCTGCAGCAGCTGATGGCTTGATGGCGGGCAACATTGTTTACTGAAATGGCAGACAACATTCTTTGTCCACAGATGCCATAACAAACACCACAGACCTGGCGGCTTAAAACAGCGAAGATTTGTTTCTTTACAGTTCTGGAAGCCGGAAGCTCTCCTTGGCTTGCACGTGGCTTTCTTCTCCCAGATGTTCGTATGGTCTTCCCTCTGGACTTGGCTGTGTCCACATTGCTCTTCTTAAAAGGACCAGTCATTTGGATCAGGGCCCATCCCAATGACCTCATTGGAACTTAATTAGCTCTTCAAAGACCCTGCCTCCATTCTGAGGTCACATCTGAGGTACTAGGGGTTAAGACTTCAATACAAGAATTTGCATGGAGGGGCACACAATTCAGCCCACAGCACTAGATTTAGCAAATAAAACTCCCAGTTAAATGTGAATTTCAGGTGAACAAGTGAATGGTTTTTTTAGTATTTGTATGTGCCAATGGAGTAGCCATCATAGTCAACCTGGGCTGCAAGGAGATCCAGCCAGTCCATCCTAAAGGAGATCAGTCCTGGGTGTTCATTGGAAGGACTGATGCTGAAGCTGAAACTCCAATACTTTGGCCACCTGATGGGAAGAGCTGACTCATTTGAAAAGACCCTGATGTTGGGAAAGATTCAGGGCAGGAGGAGAAAGGGATGACAGAGGATGAGATGGTTGGATGGCATCACTGACTCAATGGATATGGGTTTGGGTGGACTCTGGGAGCTGGTGATGGACAGGGAGGCCTGGTGTGCTGTGGTTCATGGGGTCACAAAGAGTCGGACATGGCTGAGCGACTGAACTGAACTGAACTGAAAATAAAATTATTTATTATTTTTCTGAAATTCACATTTGGTTAGGAGTCCTGTATTTTACTTTGAAAACTCTGTCCAAATTACACAGGCTTCCGTAAGGAGAGGAATTCCTAGGTGGCACAGTGGTAAAGAATCCGCTTGCCAATGCAGGAGTCTCAAGTTCGGTCCCTGGGTCAGGGAGGTCCCCTGGAGAAGGGAATGGCTACCCACTCCAGAATTCCTGCCTGGAAAATCCCATGGACAGAGGGGCCTGGCGGGCTACAGTCCCTGGAGTCACAAAGAGTCGGACACGACTGAGCACTCACTCACACACACACACAGGGAAAGGTATTCCATGAAGAAGAAATGCTCAGTGAGGAAAACCTAAGGAATCATTAGAATGGTTTTATTTAAAATACAAGGAGACTTGAAGGAATCTCGAGTGTAATCCCTTTGTCTGGAGCTCAGCATCCCTGAGGCCCAGGGCTCCACCACGGCTGGGAGTCCTTGAGGCTTCATTCTCACCCCAGGCCAAGCCCTTCCCAGGCGGAGGAGGTTACTGGAACCCCTATCCATGTGCTCCCTGCAAGGCAGCTTCCAAGAGCAAGCGGAGGCAACAGGGATGGGTTGAATTCTCGCCCTGTGCGCCCTCACGTAGCTCACAGAGCACTCCCGGCCCTGTCTGACGATCCACCCTCTCCTCTGGGGTCTCTCCAGGCCCCTGCAAATCCACTAGACTTGAAAGAAGCTGTGGAGGGCTGGTTACAGGCTGCTGTTTCCACTCCAGCAGTTCTTCAGTTATAGAGCCCTTGGAGAATCCAGTAAAAGCTCTGGATCTTCCAGCCCCCAAAACTCACAAATGCACCAAGACAGCTGGGCAGCTAACTTTAGGTGAATTATAGGCCTCTGAAGCCTGTTTTGGACACACAGGTTAAGCCCCTTTGCATTACGCTGTGCTGACGCACCTGTATACAGAGAGAAGTCAGTGCCCTACCAATTCAGGGACGCATTTGTGTCCCCAGGATGGGGTACGCCTTGGCACACAGCACGTTCTCAGCGGTGGGGAAGCACGACAAGGCACTTTTGGAGCTGCCCAGTTGCATTTTTAATAAAGGGATATCCTTAAGAAACCAGAGAAGCTCTTTAATAAGGAATTGCAGGCATCAAGAAGGGCTGACCGGGAAGAGTCTCTGCACGTGGAGAAATTTCCCGGTACGGCTAAAAGCACATCACACCGGGAATGCCCTGTGAATGCTGTTGCTAATAGTGAGGACAACAAGCATTCCGTGTGCGCTCCACGCCAGGCCATGGGCAACGCACTCTGACCTCACCTCGGCGAGGCAGGCACCGCTCTCGCCCTCCTTATTCATGTGGGACAGTGGGGGCTGAGAGTTTAAACAACTTGCTCAAAGTCCAGCAGGTTGTCTCCTGGGAGGGCATAGACGTCACCTCACTATGCGCCCGCTTCCATGAGCAGCCGTCCATCCTTCTCGGAGGTGTGGTTCCAGCTGACCGGGGTTTTGGACAGCAGGCTGACACGTCTGCTCTGCCCACTCACCACCCTCATTTTTCGTCCTCTCTGCAAATATCCAATGGGGGGAAAACTCCAGAGGCTACTTTAGAGTTTAGCTCTCAGAGCATCCAGGGGGAAATTTAGGAAGACGCTCCAAAGCCTGGTCACAGCAGAAGAGTTTGAGTCTACTTCTTAAAAGTTATGTGGAATTTACAGTTTCTTTTTCTCCATAACTTTCTTTAAATAAAAAAAGAGAGAGAGAGAGATGTGAGTGACTGTCTCAGTGACAGATGTGAGCAAACATGCCCTAACATTTCAGGACTTTAAAAAAAAAAAAAAACCACATATATCCCATCCTTTGAAGCAGTGACCTAAGGCAGCTGTTTAGGAGATAGAAAATTCTAAATAAACTGTGACTTGGCTTGATGATGTGGACGAGAATGTGATCCAGCAGTAAGGTCCTTCCAGTCCAACCTCACTGAGCTAACCCAGTTCTCATCTTTCTCCTCCCAGGCAGCACCCTCGCAGAATTGGCTCCTCCCCTACCAGGGTTCTCCGCAAGGATTCCTGCCCTGTGTAAACAATAGAAAAACCCACCCTCTACACGGGGGACCTCACATTTAAAAAAAAAAAAAAAAGCACAAATTTTAATTCTTCTCTGTCCTTTGGGGAACTCTCTGGTTAAAACCCTTTGCTTATGATCACTCCAGTGTACACTGTGAATTGAAACCTATTGTGAGTTTAATGTGGTCTAATGAGCTTTGCTTAGGAAAAAACTGTTCTTGGGTCACAGAACCACAGTCTCTGCTGTCACCAGCCAGCTTTTAATTACATGCTTTTGATTACCAGGGCAACGAGGGGAGAGACTGGGTCCTCTGGGTGACCTCATCACCACCAATGGAAAAACAAGGAAAATAACAGGCATTCCATCTTAGATGGAGTATTACTTTTATCCAAGAGGACGGCACATTTAGAGAATGACTTCCTTAATACTGTTGCCGGATGGAGACTGTTTCCTAATGGGCTCCTGTCTCTTTTCAGACTTTGAACTACTTGAGAAAAGATGAAATTCTCCTCTCTGAAATTCTTTGCTCTGCTAACATGAAAACACACAACACACAAACACACAGGCGTACACTCACATTCCACATTACCTAATACACTGTGCTGAATAAGGATTTCTTCTTCCTTGAACCCACTGACATAGAAATCGCAAATGCTTCAGGAAAGAAACAGGCAACTTAGAAGCTTCCGTAGATCAGGTGTGGGCTTTAATCTCTAGGGAGGCAAGGATCTGGCTTGGAACGCTGAGGTCACAGTTGGCCAGTTGAAGGGAAGGGCTAAATTCTGACCACAGAAGCAGTAGAGAGCCCTGCCTTCAGAGGAAAGGGGAAAGCCCCCGTTGGTCAGAAGGTCTGATGTCCGGTGAGCGGGAGTCCCCGGGGCAGGCTGCCCACGGCTCTCCCCCAGCCCCTGCCCTGGTCTCAGCAGCCCTCACTGGCCCGACATCCACAGGCCAAGGGAACTCGCCTTTCTTTGTGAAACGATCTCTAGGGAGGTGAAACCTGCTTTGCCCACCTATGAGACAGGCCAGAAACGCCAAGTAACGAACACCTCCAAGAGCAACTCTTAGCCAGTGGCTAAGCAGAGTTGGTGCATGTATCAGGTAGCCAAGCTTCCTTAAAAATTGCCCCCAGCCACTTTGTAGACCAACAGTGTTTATTATTATTTCTCATGACTCTGCGGGTAAGAAACTGGGGTGGGGCACCTCTGGGCAGCCTTCACTTTTCGATGGCCTTAGGGCCCAGTCAGAGGGCTGCCAGGCCAAGGCCTCCTTCATGTGTCTGGCACTCGTATAAACCTTAAGTGGCTTCTGTCTCGCCACGCACGTCTCGTTATTTAGTAGATTTTTCACAGGATGACAGCTGTCTTCCTCTGAGTCCAGGAGAACCAAGGTTTCTGCGTCTCTTACTGGCGCAGAACTTGCCCAGCCTCACTTCCCCCACCTTTCATTCATAAGATTAAGTTATCAGCCGGCCCGTCTTGAGGGGAGCAAAAAGAGACAGCACTTTTCACCTGAGGGAAGGGGAGGCCTGCAGGCCTGGGAGGCCTTCTTTCCCAGGTAGGAGTGTCTGAGCCCGTTTCCCAGGTTGGGTCACTGGTAGGGGATTCCACAGCCTGAGCATGAGTGTGGGAACTTACACCGCCTACCTTGACCATGTTTCCTGGGATCATCTCCCATATAAACCGCTCAAAGGCAATGCCTGGCCTCAGGGTCTGCTTCTGGTGGAACTCAAACCTAGGCACCTGGGATGGAAAGGCATAAACACCAAGTACTCCTATTTCCAGTTGGAAACTGAGCCAGAAGGGGAGGCAGATAAGAGAAACTTAGTCCTCTTTCCCCCAATTTTACAGCCCTCAGGATAAACCCAGCGGATAAGGGTGAGGAATTTAAGAGAAGAAACATTACCGCTGTCTCCTTGTCTCCCCGTGACAGCGCCCTGGGCCCCGGAACACTGGCAGCATCCTGTCCACAGCTGGCTTGGAAAACGGCTCCGTGAATCACTCTAAAAGGCTGGGCAGATTCACTACAAGCCCTGCCCTGCTCCACTGTGGGGTTCAAAAATGTGTCTCCCATCCAGAGCACGATGACTAACAACTTAGATGTGTGATGCTTATGACAGGGGCTTGGTTTATTGTGGCTAATCTCTGAATTGGGACATGTAAATAAAACCCAATTGTACTATGCCTAAGAAGTTGGTGTATTTTTCCATATTTGAACAAACTTTTTTACAAGACATGAACCTCAATGTTGAGAAAACCAACTCTGAGTGAATTTGGATGTTAGCTCTCAGGCACTTTGTTCAGTCCCAAGCTGTGTTGTCTCCACTGCCAACCAGGTTCCAGTATGTAGCAGGCACTCAGCAAGTACTTGTTAGGTGAAAGAATCCCTGTATTTTGGGGAGGGGTGACTCATGACACAGATAACACTTCTGTAGTTCTTAATCACTCCCCTCATCATTTTCCAGATAATATAGCAAGAAATACAGGCATGCTAAATAGAGATAATTGTTTTCTGGTACTGATGGATGACTTAAAGTATAGAAAAAACTGACATCTATGTTATTGAGATACAGGAAATAAACTATTAAATATTTAATGCAAAAATTTGAAGGTAAAAATTAGAAAAAACAGGAAGAGGGATATTTTCAAAAATTATACATAGTTAACACATTGGAAAAGACTGATGCTGGGAAAGATTGAAAGCAAAAGAAGAGGGTGGCAGAGGATGAGATGGTTGGATGGCATCACCAACTCAATGGACATGAGTTTGAGCAAACTCCTGGAGATGGTGAAGGACAGGAAAGTCTGGTGTGCTGCAGTCCATGGGGTCACAGAGTCAAACATGACTTAGCGACTGAACAACAACAGTAAACACAAATCTAAAAGGCAAGTTAAGAACCACCGCTGTGGAAGAGATTCATGCTTTCTCTGCCCTTGATCACTTAGCATTCCACTCTATAAGCTTAATTCATTTTTTTTTTTTTTTTTTTTGGTAGGAGAAAGGTAATTATGCTGAAGTTGCATAACAGGAAAAACTAGAAGTAATACAGCAAGAAAAAGTGACAGTGATCTTTAAAAAATCACTATGATATATATTCTTCTCAAGAAGCTTGGGCTTCCCAGGTGGCGCAGTGGTAAAGAATCTGTCTGTCAATGCAGGAGACACAAGAGATGTGAGTTTGATCTCTGGGTCAGGAAGAGCATTTGAAGTAGGAAATGGCAAACTGCTACAATATTCTTGCCTGGGAAATCCCAAGGACAGAGGGTTACAGGTCATGGGAATCACAAAGAGTCAGACACAACTGAGATACTAAGCATAGAAAATCAGTTCAAACCCAAAACAGTTTGCAAAGTAGGTTATTCCAATTTGAGGCCTCTCGTTTCACCCAATCCTTTCTCTTGACTCTTCTTACTCCTCGAGTATTTGTCTAGGGTTCATTTTGTCTAGGGTTCATTTATTCTATTCTGATTCATTAAATGCTACTGAACACTTGTTATGTGCCAGCCAGTGGGCCAGGGGCTGCTGGGAGTACGAGGCGAATCAATGGGAAGCGACTTAACCCTCATGGAACTTACAAACAGGGAGAGAAAAAGAATTACAACTATAGAAAATAAATACTTATGAACTGCAATAAATATTGTGCCTAGTTAGGAGTTGCAAAAGTCATTTGCCTAGTTTCAAATTTTGAAGAAGCTTGTATTATATATATATACATATGTAATATGTATACATATGTAATATGTATACATATATATACATATGTAATATGTATACATATGTAATATATGTATACATATATTGTATACATGTATACATGTATATATGTATACATGTATACAATATATGTATATATATGTATATACATACATGATATGTATACATATACATATATATACACCTTAAATTGAAAACTATGCTTTAGTATTAAAGCATTGTATATATATTTAAGTCTTGGCTGTCCATCCCTATGTGCCATTATAGTTCCCAGACAGGCCTAACCAGGTGGCACCCAAAAGACTGGATAGTCTCATTCAACTCCCTCAAAATATCTTTACTACATCCCAGTCCCTGGGTCTTCTATACCGTAATGATTGAAACTATGATAAGTTACTACCAGCTGATGAAGAGCTGTTTGTTTACCCTTGTCCAGAGAAGCAATGACACCAACAAAAAGAAGTAAATATTTAATGGAACTTCAGGTTCTAGCTGAGGACCAGCCAGAGGTTATTTTGGGAAGAAAAGAACTGTCTTACACCCTTGAAATAGCATCCTTTGAGCCGATATGGACTCAAGCCTACCTGTAAGGCTTACACGGTGACACAAAACATTCCGTGCTTCTGCTGTGCATTCAGTAGTATCTTTGCGGTCTGAAAAGAGACAACACAGGCTTCCCAAAGGATCTGAGGATGTGATATTTCTGAGGGTGAACTAGCTCCGCAGTAGTTTCTGTACAATGAACCTGCCAAGGCATCTTGAGGGAAGCATGCCTGCCTGACAGAGCTTGGCTGCAGACTTTGGCAGCATCCATGGGATGGAGAGACATTTCACGTTTATTCTTTGGAAATCCCGAGGCAAAAATATTCCTCTCCCTTCCTTTGGGCTCTATGAAATATCCTATTTGACTTCCTCTCCTGCAAGCTGTCTAACTCACACTTTTAAACTCACCTCTCAGATCCATTTCCTCCAGAAAGCTTTTCCGAGGCCAAGATAAACTCTCCTGAATTGTGTTAAACCATGCTCATTACTCTAACACTGCAGTTCTCAGATGTCATGTGTTATTTTCCCCACAAAATGGCCTTAATCTCCCCAATACGATCTGCTCGCAGGTGTTTTTGTGCTTGTATATTTAATTTCAGTTTCTAGTTCACTTATTACTATTGTTTCTTATGGCACTGAATGCATATTGCTACTCCCAATAAATTGTAAATTAATGTTTTTGCTGTCATAAATGATTATTATGCAACTCACCCATCATCATTATCATCATCTCTGAATGGAGGTGTAATCAGAAGAAACCTTTGAAATTCCTCAGCCTCATTTGTGCTCACAAACAGTATTTTATCATATTCTTTGATTTTAAAAGCTTTATGGCTTTTGTAAAACTACTGAATGTGCATTGTTAAAATTCAAGCAACATAGAAACATACAAGGAAAGTAAAAATCACCCTGGATTCCACCATTCCACAGAGGAAACTGTGATTAAGATGTTAATAAACATTTTTTCAGACATTTCTCTATTTTATATATACAAGTCAATGTATGCATATCATTTTATATCAACAGAGCATAATAATTCACACTCTTTATAAATTATATTTGCAGTCAGTATTGAACATCTTTCCATGTCAATGCATTTATAGTCATCATTTCTAATGTTTTTCATAGATCCTTATACACATGCCCTCTATATAACCTTTTGCTGTATTTCTGTAATTTTGCAATTTTTTCTAATCTCAAAGATGCTATAGTGAAGAATGTTATGAGTATTACTTTCTGCGCTTGTGGTATATCTCCTTGGGGTAGATTCCGAGACATGAAAATTACTGGGGAGAAAGAGTGTGCATAGTAATCCAGTAATTACTGTATCTTGATAATCCAGTAATCTTGATACATATTTTGATAGTCATTGAAAAGTGGTTCTAATCAATTCACACCCACAGCACGTGACCATTTTCTACCTTGTCTTTTCTCATAATATCATCACCGTGCCTGAGAATACTTTGGGAGAGCTGCTGATTGCTGAGCTTAGTGAACAAGAAACGAGCAGCCGTCTTTAGACATTGCTAGTCTCGTCAGCAGTGTGGAGGTGATCACCTTCACTTCTCTTGTCACTCTTCTGTTCTGTTTTCATTTTCTGAATGAGATGATTTCACTGAATTGTCACACACAAGGATTTTATGACAGTCAATTTATGTGAGCACCTGAACCCATTATACAGCATAATTCATACTTGATAGAAAGTGACAGTTGCTAGCAGATTGCCCCGGCGTTCCTTTAGAGAAGACAATTGCTCAACAGAAATCATTCTGAATCAATTAATCGAGTCACAGCTCAGCTGTTATGCCATGACATTCCGACACCAGGAAAAGGGAGCTACTTGAATATTCTGTGCCACGCCTCGGACCATGTGGTCTTTACACTGTTGGGCTCATTAAGGCCATTAGGGTCTGAACAGGAATCTCATCCACCTAACACCCTTGGCCTCTTGTGGTGGATTTGGGAAAAGCTGGTTCTTTTCCTTTGATTTTTATCTGCTAGAGTGGGTGTTCAATTCAGTCGCTCAGTCGTGTCCGATTCTTTGCAACTCCATGGACTGCAGCACACCAGGCCTCCCTGTCCATCACCAACTCCCAGAGCGTACTCAAACTCATGTCCATCGAGTCGGTGATGCCTTCCAACCATCTCATCCTCTGTCGTCCCCTTTTCCTCCTGCCTTCAATCTTTCCCAGCATGAGGGTCTTTTCAAATGAGTCAGTTCTTCATATTAGGTGGCCAAAGTATTTGGAGTTTCAGCTTCAGCATCAGTCCCTCCAATGAATATTCAGGACTGATTTCCTTTAGGATGGACTGGTTGGATCTCCTTGCAGTCCAAGGGACTCTCAAGAGTCTTCTCCAACACCACAGTTCAAAAGCATCAATTCTTCAGCACTCAGCTTTCTTTATAGTCCAACTTTCTCATGCATACATGACTACTGGAAAAACCATAGCTTTGACTAGACAGATCTTTTTGGCAAAGTAATGTTTCTGCTTTTTAATGTGCTATCTAGGTTAGTAATAGCTTTTCTTCCAAGGAGCAGGCGTTTTTTAGTTTCATGGCTGTAGTCATCATCTGTAGTGATTTTGGATCCCAAGGAAATAAAGTCTCTCACTGTTACCATTGTTTCCCCATCTATTTGAGTGGTTTCCCCATCTATAGAGTGGGTGTAATGAATTTACACACACACACACACACACACACACACACAGAGGTGTTCCCCAGCTGGTTCAATGGGTAAAGAATCTGCCTGCAATGCAGGAAACACAGGAGACATGAGTTTGATTCCTGGGTCAGGAAGATCCCCTGGAAAAGGGTATGGCAACCCACTCCGGTATTCTTGCATGGAGAATGCCATGGACAGAGGAGCCTGGTTGGCTACAGTCGATGGGGTCACAAAGAGTTGGACACAACTGAAGTGATGGAGCACACAC